GCACGACGAGCGTGAGCGATGCTCGCGTCCTTTGGGCGTGATGCAACACCGCTGGGATAAGGTGGGGTGGCGGAAACGCATATGCATGCTCGGGGGCCCATGATATGGAGAAGGCGTCCGTTGCCTCTGCGTCAGGGTGAGGAGTTTTGGAGCAGAAGCGAGCCAGCTGGGTGTTGTTCGCATTGGCAAATAAATCGATTGAGTGCGGTCCCAAGCGCCGCTCGATGAGCCGGAACCATGGTGCTTTGATTGCGTAGTCGTCGCGATCGATCATCTTTGAAAGTTCATCCGCTCGTGTGTTGAGTTCGCGCGAAATCCATTCAACTGTCAACCGGATCCCAAAGGTGACGCACGCTTGAATGATGGCTCTGCACGTTGTTGTGAGGCTCGGGGTCCGCGAACCACCTTTGCGAAGAATAAAGAAGACACCTTGATTGTCGGTTCTGGCGAGGACATATCGGTGCTGGATCCTTCCCGAGAATGTCTGCAATGCCCATAGGACTCCGTCCATTTCCCGTTGTGTGCTGGAGGCTGTCGTGAGGTGCACGGGCATGGTCGCGCTCGCCTCGATTTGCCTCCCTGGAAACATATCTAGTGTCGCTCCCCAGCTGTGTGCGCTGGCGTCCACATGGATTACTGCGTCATAGCTGTTCGGGACATGGAATGGGGCTCCATTGAATCTGTCAAATTCATGTAGCCAAAACTCGAGCTCTTCGATGACCGCAGGGACCAACTGCACTTTGTTTTTCCAGGAAGGGGCATCCTGAATGGTCTGTAGTAGATTCTGGCTGAATGCGCGCGCGGTTGCGCCGATGGCAAGCGACATCGACGCGAGCATGCCGGTAACTCTGGCTGCGTGGCGGATCGGAACTTTGCGTTCGGCCTTGCCAGCCATGCATAATTCGCGAATGGTTGAATGTAACGATGCTCGCCGCTCGGGACCAATGGAGAACTGGCCGCGCTGTGTATCCAGCTCGACACCCAAAAACCGTAGCTGCTGGGTGGGTTGCAAGTGCGACTTCTTGGAATTGATAACCAGTCCAGCCTTGCTGAGGTCTTGCACCACCATCTGACCCGTGGTTCGCGCTTCTGCTGCCGTGCGACACAGAAAAAGGATGTCGTCGACGTAAGGGATGACTCGCACCCCGAGAGCCCGCCAACGACGGGCGAGCTGCTTGATGAGCTGTGTGAAAACGAACGGGGCTGTCGCCAGCCCGAATGGCAGAGATCGAAAGACGTACGAGCGCCCATCGAATTGGAACCCGAGGAACTTCCAGTAGGAAGGGTGGATGTCAACGTGGTGGTATCCTGATTTTAAATCGACTGCAAACATCCAGTCGTCTTCATGAACGAGCTCTGCCACCCGGTTCAGTCCTTCGTACTTGAATTTGGGGATACACAAATTTTGGTTCACCCTTCGGAGGTCAAGAATCAGTCGGCACTTTTCTCTTTGAACCACCACATTTAGCGGGCTGATGCATAGCTGTTGTTCCGCGGGGGCGGGTGTGGCCGCACCACTCTCGAGAAGGTCGGTTATTGCCTGCTTGGTGAACGTGGAATGGATTAGCGCTCCCGCGTGGTTGTCTTGCCGGAACGGCGTGGGTGGTCCATGCTTCCATGGCATCCAGTAGCCATTGGCGATCACCGAGAGTATGAAACTGCTCTCGCACCACGAGCTCCACCATGGAAATGCCGTGCGCAGGCGCCCACGCATGGTCGTGACGAGCTTGTCAGTGACCGCGAACTCATAGGGGCCACCCCCCTCGATCGTTCCACCCCCCGGCATATCTGTAGCCAGTGGACCATGGGTGTGGGGGCAACATGGGGCGTGCTTCGTTAAAACTCAAGACTCGAATTACACAAGGAAGTCAACGGAAAATTGTAGGTTCGGAAAAACCCCAGCGGCGGTTCGGTTAGGGAATCGGAAGCCAGTCCTGTCGAAACCCACGTGAAACTCTGGACCAATCGCGTGAGAGTGGTGACGCTCTACCATCCGACTCGGTAATTCGGGACGGGCTTCTTTTAAGCAGGGGCGTTTGGCTAGTAGGTTGTGCGTACGATTAACTAGATCCAATGCCCGCAAATGTTCATGCCGACGCCCCTTCCCCTTCCCTCTCTCTCTCTTTTTTTTTTTTTTTTTGTGGTTCGTGAGACCTTTGCGTGCCTACACCTGCACTCTGGTGTTCTGAGATGTGCCCAACCGGAGGTGCTCCACCGGAGCAGCCCCTTCGTTCGGCCGCTTTGGCCCTTGCCTTTTTTTTTTTTTTTTTTCACGTGCCGCATGCTCTTCGGATGGCCATTTGCTGCCTTCCATGTTTGGTAGGCCACCCTTTGTCTTGCACTATGGCGTGTGCTCTTGGCATCATGGGACCCCAAGTCCCACACCCACTCTTTCCTTTTTTTTTTTTTTTTTTTTTTTTTTTTTTTTTTTTTTTTTTTTTTTTTTTTTTTTTTTTCCCTTCACCCGTGATTCCTTTGCATTTCAGGGCTTGCATAGCCCGCACATCTTGCCACTTCCCTTTTTTTATTTTTTTATTTTGCTCTCTATCTCTTTCTCTCTTGTTCGCATGTACCGTAGGCTTCCATGCCGTATAGGTGTTCCCCGCTTCAGGTTCTTCCACACCTCAAGAGCGCATGCTCCTTTTTTTTTTTTTTTTTTTTTCAAGCGAGTCCAACAACTTTGCCCATTAGGCCTTCCCATTCATTCAAAAGAGCATACAAGCATTACTTGCAATCACATGTTCACCTAGAACTCCTAGTCCTACACCCCTTGCCTTGGGGTAGGCCCGCGGCCTTTCTAACATCCCCTATGGGATAGGCCAGCGGCCTTTGCACTCCCTAGTGCCATCATCTCCATTCAAGCCTCTCGGCACCGCCCCCTAGGGCGTTCACACCACCGGTGCCGGCCCTTGGGCTCCTCCCCCATTTTCCGGGCAAGCATTGGCCATGTGGCCTGGCTGCCCACAACGGAAGCATGAGCCACGAAAGCTCCTTCCATTGCCGTCAAATGGGGGGCCGCGCTTGTTGCCAAATGCCATGGGCCCGCGCCCTCCGCCACGTGGGGTACGGTTGAAATTGCCTTGTGCGCGCTCCATCGCCGCCACGTCCGCGACGGCTTGCTTGAACGGGCGTGAGGTGAAGACGCTCTTATCTTCGTAGAGCTTGAAGCGATTTGCCGTGCGGAAGTTGGTGTAGTCGGCGACGTGGAGTAGCTTGAAGCGGTTGGTGATAAGTGTGAAAGCTTCGCCAAGGTATTCGAGGGCGCTTTCCGGCTCGTTGTGTCGCACCTTGTGCTCTGCATGCTTCAGGTATGCCCGCAGGTGTTCTAGGACCTCGGCTTGCTCGCGCACGGCGGCGTTCTTGAACGAGGCGGCGGTTAGAGTGGGATTGGGAGACGAGAGTGGGGGGAGTTGCTCAACGGGTGCAAAAGCGGCATTTAAGGCATGTGCCTCACCATCGTCGTCGTCTTCATTGTCGCTGTCGATGGGGTTGTTCATGACCGGAGCGGCAGCGGCGCGTGTGTCTTCGCCCCTTCCGGTTTTTGTCGTGCGAGCGCGCTTCACAGACTCCGTTTTCGCCTTTTCGCTTTTAGCAGAAACGGAAGTCGTGTTCGGTGTAGCGATTTCTTCCGTAACAGCAGGGGCCTGCTGCTGTAACAGGGACAAAAGCTGCTGCAGTTGGGCTGCAGTGAAGCTTGGCGCCACTTGCGCGTCAGGCCCCACAGGCGCGTCAGGGCCCACAGGCGCGTCAGGGCCCACGGGCCTGCGGCGCTGACGCGGACGCGGGGTGCCAGCCGCGCTGTTTGGCGCCGACTTGGCGCCTTCTGTCGCGGCCAGCGCCTGAGGGGCCACAGGGGCTCGAGGCACACCAGGGGCGTGTGCCTCGACTCCAGGGGCGTGTGCCTCGACTCCAGGGGCGTGAGCCTCGGTCGCGCCCAGCAGTACGTCGACGCCAGTCGGGGAAATTTCCCCGTCGTCTGCCCGACGCTTGTTAGGACGATCGCCGGCAATTTCGCGTGCGTTTCTTCCGGACTCGGGTCGAACAGAGGCGGTAGCGATATTACCCTCGCCGTCGTTAAGTGCTGTGGTTGCTGCGTTGTGAGCGAAAATGTCAGAGAGTAAAGTCGACGGGGATTGAAATCGGGGAAGATACTTCAACTTCGCCAGCTTGAGAGTGGGAGACGAGAGTTGAGAAGGAAAACCGGCTAAACCGTTTGAAAATGAGAGACGTGGGTGGAGGGAAATGACCTCCAGCCCACGTTTTGTACTCCAAAACGGGCGTTTAGCGCGGCTCGACGCTGCCAAATCCTACATTACAAGCAGCTTCGCTTTCAAAATACATAATTTTGAAAAGCGTTACAGCTTTTAAAAATATACATATTAACGCTTCCGCAACTACAACATTTCCACTTCAACAAGATCTTAGCCTTGAAAGATCCTAAGGGATTTCTCTCAGCCCAACACAGTCTACACAATATACGCATCATAACATTTTGACAGAATCCAGTGCCATGCAAAAGTTGATTTATATCTAGTTGGGAAGGTTGTTTGCTTAGACACCATTAGAAGCGTTGGAATGATGTGAGAAGAGTCTGCTTGTCTGTCAATAACATGGTAGTGCAGTGAAGTTGCAAGACTTGTTGAGAACTTGGCACGGACAGCAAGTGTGGTGTGTCTGTGCTTGTTCAGAGCCATGACAAAGATAAGAGTTTCCTGCAACATATATTCAATCAACACAAGCAAGATCTACAGTCCACTAACGTTAACCACCTAAGGCCTCACACATCCATCAGGCACACACAAAATCCACTAAGACATGCCCCTTCCCGCTAAGAAGGTACCTTGTCTGATACTGCATATTAACAAGCCTTACAAACACAGAACATGTAGGTGACGTTTCCATATGTTCAAGCAAGTGAGCACTACACCGGCAATACAGGGCTTTTCGGCCTAGAAGAGTCACACGGGGATAGTTTATTCAAATGGTGCACTCAGGGGTGTCTATCCAACGCGGAAGGAGGAGAGGATCTGCTTGATGTCACTCGAGTACTTCTTCCATTGCCGACCTGGTTGGGGTGGGGGGCACAGACCATAGAGGGTGGAGAGGAGGGTGGAGAGAAGATGGTTGAAAAGAGGGCCGAGAAGAGGGGGAAGGGAAAGGGTGGAAAGGAAAGGATCTGCTTGATGTCACTCGAGTACTTCTTCCATTGTCGATCTGGTTGGGGTGCGTGGGGGGCATAGACCATAGAGGGTGGAGAGGAGGGTGGGGAGCAAGCAAGGCGTAGGGACCGTGAGGACGAGGGAGGATCTGCTTCATGTCACTCTAGTGCTCCTTCCATTGCCACCCTGATGGGAAGGAGAGAAGAAAGAAGGCCAGGAGGAGAGAGTGGAGGGCAGGATTGAAGCATTGTGAGCACGCAAACGAGGGATCTGCTTCATGTCACTCGAATACTTCTTCCTTTGCCGACCATAGGAAGGTGGAGAACGGGTGGGAGAGAAGGGAGTGGAGGGGAAGATGGAAGCATGGTGAGCAGAAGAAAGAAGTCTGCTTGAGGTCACGCCGTGCCGTCTTCCAAGAGTGACCTGGTGGGGAGCGAGGTGGAAGCATTGTGAGTGCGAGCTGAGGCTGTCAAACAGATAGGGTGCATACACGAGGGTGGAAAGAAGATGGTGCAGGGGCGGGGATGGGAGAAGAGCAAGCATAGCAGGGTGGGCGGACCGTGAGCCCACGCTGAGATGCGGGGCCCCCTCACCCTCCCAGCGCACACCAGACGCAGCAATGCCCATGATGTAATGTACATTCAGACGCCAGCAGAGCCTACACAAACAGTTTGGAACTCACCTGACGCGGCAACTAGACACAGACCTGACGCGGCGATGCCCATGTATGTCCATGCGGTTGCCAGCAGCAGTGCAGTCGTGAGACCCCTGACATCCCCCTTCTTCCCCCCCTCCCTCAGGCTTAGAACAATCTCAGATTCAAAAGCTCCTCATACACTAATGCCCCTCACCCTCACAGCAGCGACGCCCATGATGTACATGCGGATGCCAGCAGCAGTGGAATTTAGGGACGAGCAAAAAGTCCCTCAGGATTTACAGGCCCATGATGCAGCGACCAGCCACTCACCAGAAGCAGCGACGCCCATGATGTACATGCGGTTGCCAGCAGCTGTGGCGGACACGAGGATATGCGGGTCAACGTCATACTCGTAGTACGTCCGCCCGCCCTTAGACACCACCTTCGTGTCGTTCACGCGCCCCTCCACGTTCTCGCCCGTGATTTCCGGGCCGAACGCGGTGATCACGCGCTCCGGGTCGCCCACGCTCTCGATTCGCACGTCGTCGCCCAGCCCGTCAGCGAATCGCAGCACGGGTGCGACGACGATGAACAGCTTGCCCTGCTGCTTGCTCGCGAACCGCAGGTCGATCTCCGTGCCGCCCAGATCGGCGATCGACACCGGCGTCTGGCGGGAGAGATCAAAGGGATTGGGAGCGGTTGGGATTGGTTGGAAAGGGGGAGAAGCGAGTACCTGTCGGTGTGAAACTCTACTCGAAATTCGAATAGAATGCGCTACCAGTCACCACTGCATGATATTGACGACTGCATCCACGCGAGTCGCGTGTTATTAGCTATCAGGGAGAACCGCGGATTCCTAAACAGTAGTGGCGACGCACGTGATGCGCATCGCCATGGCGATAATAAGGGTCGCAATGCTCCTAAATGTCTGCGCCGGTCCGCACACCACTTTTCTCGATGTGGTGTCGAAACCGAACCAATTTAATTCGATTTGATTTCATTCGATTTTTTTCACTTTGTGTGCTCCGTGGCTCGGTGAGGCTGTGGGAAACTTCGAGGGCTGATTGATTCGATTTGGTACAGCTCGGGAATTCAGACGAGTACTCCGCGTACCTCCTCCCAGGCTTCCGGCACGGTGAAGGTGTACGGAGAGTCTACAGGTAATAACAAGACAAGCTATAACGCGTATCTCTTCTTAACCATTTCTCGTACCTCCTCCCAGGTCTCCGGCACAGTGAAGGTGTACGGGATGAGCTCGCTCCACCCCACGCCGTGCCCGCCGGACTTGCTCGCCGGCCGCTTGTACGTGCGCCACCCTGGCAGGACACAGCATAAGCACACACGCAGACGCTTTGAAATGGCGTTTCTACGAGTCTTTGTATTGTTCGTTCCAGAAACGTAGCACGCACGGCATGGAGTCGAGGACCTCGACGAAAGAATCGAGAGGTTGCGATGAGTTGCGACGAAGCAGATTGTGTTACCGTTTTCGTCGGGTTCGGAGAGCCCCGGAACGCGGCCAGCGACGGCGGTGGTGGGAATGAGTGCATTCGCTGGGCCGGCGGCGAGCGAGGCGGCGAGAGCTGCCATGGCCGGGAGCGCTACGACCGCGCGACGCGTGACGGGTGTAACGTGTGTCACGGCGGGAATGGCGAACGCTGAACTGGCAGCTGCAGATGACGCAGACGGTGCATCATCTTGATCGTTCGCCAAGGCTGCGACGAATGGCTTTGGTGTGGCTCGTCGCAGAGGAGAGTGCGAGGAGGGGATGGCGGCGGTGCGAAGGCGGAGAGTGAGAGGAGACGACTGGGAGAGGCAAGTGAGCTCCGCCATGGTTGATGGTCGATGTTGAGGACACTGAAATTCGGGGAATGAAATAAACAAAGCACGAACGGAATACTACCGTGTGAGCCAAACTAAACAATATAATCAGGATTGAAGTGGCAGGACTGGTATTTATTTTCTGAATGGTCTGGCTTTGGAATTGGCTCAAACCAGAAATAGTGGTGTCAGGGGAAAGGAACCTAAGGGGTTGGATTTGGAGGGAAAACTAGGACCAAGGGAGTGTCACTGTTGCGAAACTGCACGAACTATTCGGCAAAGCTCGTTACTCCGAATGTGGGGTGCGATTGGGTGAGTGACGAAGGACCCCGCGAAGGCTTCCAAGATTTTGATGACGAGGCGAGTGCACTGTCGGGGCGACACTTGGTCGAACGGAATTGGAGGCTCGCACTCTCAGCAACGATGCGCTGACGTGCCGGCACGTGGACGGGAGAAGGGAGGACTGCATCTGCTGATGTGTTGGCCGAATCAAAAATCGATTAGGACTATACCGAGTATTGTCACACTGGTGCTCACTGCTTTCCATACTAATTTTCAAAGCCCACGTTATAATAAAGCACAATTTTAATGAGCCATAGCCAGAGAGAACCTTGAGTATATGCTGATATGTACTCATTTGTGTGTCCAAGTACAAATCTATTTCAAGCTACAAAGGTGTTTTGTCCATGACCTAATGACCTCAAAACAATTCGCCCTTATGAGGACTTGGTAGCAGGCTCCTCTGTCCGTGGAATGATGACACCATAACCACCGTGCTTCCTCTTGTACAGGATGTTGATCTCACCTGAATGAGAAGAATAGAGAGAGAACAGACAGATAGCACGTGTAGGTAAGAAAAGGAACCACAATGGCGGCTTGTTATCACTAAAACTAACTTCTATAGCCCACAATCTACACCATTAATCACGTTCCAGTAAAGGTGGCAGTGGTGGTGATGGCCTGGACTGGACCAACGCCCCTGTGGTCTACCCTTCTGTACCACCACAGACCAGACCCTCTGCACCTTGGCAGTTAACTTCCATAAGTACTGTACTTCCTTTGCTGTTAAGAGAGCTCTGTGCAGTGCCAGGCCATGGCCGCCATTCTGACACCTTTCCTTGCCAGCATGACTCCCCCCTGTGTGACACCCAACTAACCGCTCCTGAACACAAGCCATGCTCCATGTGTGGGGAGCAGCCACAGGCAAGCCAAACGGATATGCCATTTGTTGCATGTGCCCCCCTCGCCATCATTCCCTCCCTGGCATTCACCGCCCCTCCCTCCCCCCTCCCCTCCCCCCCCCATTGACCAATCATTGTCCATGCTGACGTGCTGCTCCCCTCCTCTTGCCACCTGCACATCCCCCTCCCCCTCTTCTTCGTGTCAATACTAATCCCCCCCTTCCCCCCTCCGCCCTTCAGACCGTGCCACTCACCCAAGTCCCCATCGTGTACGAGCTGCTCCAGCGCCTCTTGCAACCCGTCCCTCCCCCTCCCTCTTTCGCCAATAACCGAGTACCCAAACGGCCCTAGCACCACGTCACTCACCAGAGTCGCCGTTGCGGAAGGCATAGAAGACATGGTCCACGTTCACGAGCTGCTCCAGCCAAGCCAACCTGCAACCATACCCTCTGTTGCACACGCCCTCAACCCACTCTGCCACTCACCCGAGTCGCCGTTGCGGAAGGCGTAGAAGTCGTGGTCCACATTCACGAGCTGCTCCAGTGCCTCGTACGTGCTCATGGGCGCCATCTCGAAGTACTTGGTGCGCACCACCTGGGGGGGGGAGGGAGCACAGGGGGAGAGTGAGCAAGAAGGGAGGAGAGAGGGCAACGGTGAACGCGTGTTTTGCATCCCCTCAGCGATAATCACCTCCCTCGTACGTGCTCATGGGGGCCATCTCGAAGCACTTGGTGCGCACCACCTTTGAAGGGGGAGTGGGTGGGGAGGGCAGATAGGCCAACGGTGGGTAGGTGAGGGCAGGGGGGGATAGCAAGAGGGGAGGAACGAGGCAGCATGTCGCCCAAGGTCAGTGTGTCTCTAGCACTCACTTAGCGCTAACCAACTTTTCGACAACATCCCACATAAATTCTGCGTTTGTCGTATCAGCCACGTGCTCGTACGCGTTACAAGCTGTTGCTCACCTCGTCGGGCAGATCGCTGGTCTGGCGGTTGAGAATGGGGCTACTATCGACGGGCGTCTCGGGCAGCATCTCGCCCAGCTTCTGCGCGTTCCGCATCTGCCACGTGCGCGTACGCTTTACAAGCTGTTGCTCACCTCGTCGGGCAGGTCGCTGGTCTGGCGGTTCAGGATGGGGGTAATGTCAACGGGCGTCTCCGGAAGCATCTCGCCCAGCTTCTGCGCGTTCCGCATCTGCCACGAGCGCCCTTGCCCGCCGTCCTTCTCCTTGATCTTGCGCAGCTTCCGCGAAACCACGTCCGACACCTTGTCGATCGCCGCGTACGCGGACTCCGCCTCCTCCTCCGCTCGCAGCACGCCGTGCTTTTTCGTGAAGATGGTAACCTGGTAACCGGAGACGAGAGAGAGCAGGCGAAAATGCTCAGGCGACGACGGACAGCGAAGAGAGACGAGGCGCACGAAACCGTACAAATTCTAGTAACCAGGTTCTAGCGGTCGTTAGGGCCGTAATGAAACCCTAAACCTTCAGCGGTGACATCCGTGACCCGAGAAGGGAGGAACGGCTGATTTAGGCGCCATAAGAGTAACCGTCAGGCACGGACAGCGGGAACCCAAAAAGGCGAGGAACGGAATGGGGAGTAGGAGAGACATGGGGTGGACGTTACCTCGCAGCGCTGCTGGCGCGGCCCCTTGGTGTTGGAGTCGCCGCCGCGCACGGAGAGGCGCACGTCGACCTCGCGGCACAGCGCGCTGTGGTTGTTCACCGCGTGCCCCACCTTCTCCTCCACGTACGCGCGGATCGAGTCCGTCAGCTGCGCGGGTCGCGGGGGTGGGGGGAGGGAAGAGAGGTGGGGAAGGGATAGAGGGTGGCGGAAGGGTGGGAGAAACGGTGAGGGGAAGAAGCGGGGAGAAAAGAATGGGACGGGATGAGAAGTTGCATGGTGCCTTCGCATCTACGAACGTCTGGATCGAATCCGTCAGCTGCGCCAGATGCGGATCGTATGCGGGGAAGAAAATTACGATGGCACGCATGTCATTTTGTTAGCATCAAATTTAAACGGATTTGCAAAGCGTGTGACGCATTCATAGCCGAGTGTGTTTCAACTGAACTGATAACACAGACGGTGTGAGTGCCGGACATTGATATCTCGCGCCATCCGGTGCAGGCAGTTAGAGAGCAGAACGGGCGCTTGGAACCACAGGAAAACCCTATTCTGATTCTCATCGTCTAAAAAACGCACCTCCATGTGCTTCCCTTGCACAATGAGCCGCACGGCCGCCAGCGCGCCTCCCCACGCCATGTTCGCCATCGCGCGTCGCCCCGACAGCTGCGTGCCGCCGATCCGCAGCCGACTCGGACCCGAAGGTGCGCTTGTTTGGCATGGCGCCGCCGCGGTGTGCTTCAGGAGGGGGTTGGCGGGAGAAGCGTCGGCGAATCTTCCAAGGAAAGCGTTTGGGAGGATGGCGGAGACTGCTGGACGGGATGCGGCGATGGATTTAAGTGGTGCGAGCTTCGATGGGATGGCTGACACCGCTGCTCTCGCGACCAAGAGGCTCGACGACGCCATGGTTACGGGTAGATTCGGCGAAGGAAAATGGGATAGGGAGAAAGGACTAATGCGAACAAGGATATTGGAGGTTTCCCAACACAAGCTGATTAGTGTTTCTACCTGCCTAATATGTTAGGCTGGAGTGCAATAATTAGAATCTGAGAAACATGTTCACTAACTGGAATGGACCAGCTTTCGGCCTAAGTGCGTTGAGCGCGTGGTCTGAATAGTTCATTATCCGGCGGTTGGGTCAGATAACGTACGCTCACGAATGGTTGGATAAGGTTTTGAGGAGTAATAAATTTCTGCCACTGCCTGCTGGAGAAATGGAGAGCGGAAGAAGAACGGACCTTGGGATTTGCCGTGAGGTGGGATGCTCCGCTGCGGCGGGGAGAAGTGCGGGGAGGTTTCGGGGGAGCCGGAGAGGGTGGGAGGTTGATGGGGAGGGAAGAAAGCCTCGCAGGGCGCGTGCTGGTAGGTGTGGCTCCCCCACACCCCAATCCACGTGGCGGGGGGCGGTGTTACAACAATATCGGGCCAGCTAAGTCGTGCCAGCGCTTCCTTTGCCACGACGGCAAATCTGACGTGGGAATGTGAGAGAGGTTGGGGGCTCCGAAAGTTGGGTCACGCAGATATGATCTGAGCTGGAGGCCTGGAAAAATCAAACCCGATATTGGCAACCCAGTACCAACAAACGACATGTAATACTGTACCTTACCCATATCTCGAAATGCATTGTGTGCTGCATCAGTCACACTAACAGTTTTTTCAGACCAGTCAGATTCCAAATTCATTTCAGCAATTTTTTTGTTCCTTCAACTCCGTTAGTCGAGACGAGTCGCATGATAGCTACTAGTAGTTGCGTGTCTGGGTAGTGACCGCGCGTGACTCTTCAGCCACCTAGCTGCCTTCCAGGACCCAAGAGGTCGCACAGGTCTAGCGTGACTACTATCTCAGACGCGCAATTCTTCTTGCCTCGCCTGACTATCGATCATGGCGGCAACGACAGCAGCAACAGCAGCAGCGGCACCTGCGCCGCCTGCAGCGGCGACGGAGCTCGTCGAGTTCCTCAATCGCTCGTGGACCGCCTTTCATGCTGTGGGTACGTACGCGATCGTACGTACGTAAGAGGGAAGAAGAAGAAGAAAAAAACTTAGTATAATATGACGGAATAGGGGAATTGCTTACTCGCTCCTGGACCCCCTTTCCCGCTGTAGTTCAGTGCTTCCCACGTCGAGGTCTCGCCAGATTTGTATTGACTGTATTATTTCCTCCAATTCATTTCGCAGACGAGTGTCGCCAGCGGCTCCTGAAAGCGGGTTACCAGCAGCTGTCGGAACGCGAAGAGTGGCGACTGGAGGCTGGCGGGAAGTACTTCTTCACGCGCAACTACTCCACTATCGCGGCCTTCACTATCGGGAAAAAGTGAGCGAGGGTAGCTGTAAGGCGTACGGGGGAGAGACTGTGGCACACCTGGTTCGACTGTGCGTGCCTGAAGCTGAAAGCAGCCAACTACTGCCCAGGAGTACGAAACAGCAACCCTTCTTACCTCTCTACCCTCCTCCCACCCCCACCCCCACCCTCCCACCCTCCCCCCTCCCCCCCGTAACCCCGTTCACCAGGTTCAAGCCGGGGAATGCGTTCTGGATCATAGGAGCGCACACGGACAGCCCGTGCGTGAAGTTAAAGCCCAACAGCAAGGCGAGCAAGGCGGGGTTCCTGTCCGTGGCCGTGCAGACGTACGGAGGGGGCCTGTGGCACACGTGGTTCGACCGCGACCTTGGGATTGCCGGGAGGGTCATCCTCCGCCACGTGGACGGGGAGGCAGGGGGAGAAGGGGGGGCAGGAGAGGGAGGCGGGGAAGGAGGGAAGGTTGGGTCAGTGGCGCGGGTGCGATTGGAGCATCGGCTGGTGCAGATTGATCGCCCCATAATGCGCATTCCCACGCTCGCTATCCACCTCGACAGGTGGGTCCATTCTCCCCTTAGCAATTCACCTGGATAGGTGGGTGGTGGATTCGAGGGTTGGAGGGTTGGAGGGTTGGAGGGTTGGAGGGTTGGAGGGTTGGAGGGTTGGAGGGTTGGAGGGTTGGAGGGTTGGAGGGTTGGAGGGTTGGAGGGTTGGAGGGTTGGAGGGTTGGAGGGTTGGAGGGTTGGAGGGTTGGAGGGTTGGAGGGTTGGAGGGTTGGAGGGTTGGAGGGTTGGAGGGTTGGAGGGTTGGAGGGTTGGAGGTTGGAGGGTTGGAGGGTTGGAGGGTTGGAGGGTTGGAGGGTTGGAGGGTTGGAGGGTTGGAGGGTTGGAGGGTTGGAGGGTTGGAGGGTGGAGGGTTGGAGGGTTGGAGGGTTGGAGGGTTGGAGGGTTGGAGGGTTGGAGGGTTGGAGGGTTGGAGGGTTGGAGGGTTGGAGGGTTGGAGGGTTGGAGGGTTGGAGGGTTGGAGGGTTGGAGGGTTGGAGGTTGGAGGGTTGGAGGGTTGGAGGGTTGGAGGGTTGGAGGGTTGGAGGGTTGGAGGGTTGGAGGGTTGGAGGGGTGGAGGGTTGGAGGGTTGGAGGGTTGGAGGGGTGGAGGGTTTGGAGGGGTTGGAGGGTTGGAGGGTTTGGAGGGTTGGAGGGTTGGAGGGTTGGAGGTGGGAGGGTTGGAGGGGTTGGAGGGTTGGAGGGTTTGGAGGGGTGGAGGGTTTGGAGGGTTGGAGGGTTTGAGGGTGGAGGGTTGGAGGGTTGGAGGGTTGGAGGGTTGGAGGGTTGAGAGGTTTGGAGGGTTGGAGGGGTTGGAGGGTTGAGGGGAGGGTTGGAGGGGTGGAGGGTTGGAGGGTTGGCGGGTTGGAGGGTTGGAGGGTTGGAGGGTTGGAGGGTTTGGAGGGTTGGAGGGTTGGAGGGTTGGGAGGGTGAGGTTGGAGGGTTGGAGTGTTGGAGGGTTGGAGGGTTGGAGGGGTTGGAGGGTGGAGGGTTGGAGGGTTGGGAGGGTTTGGAGGGTTGGAGGGTGGGAGGGTTGGAGGGTTGGAAGGTTGTAGGGTGGAGGGTTGGAGGGTTGGAGGGTTGAGGGTTGGAGGGTTGGAGGGTTGGAGGGTTGGAGGGTTGGAGGGTTGGAGGGTTGGAGGGTTGGAGGGTTGGAGGGTTGGAGGGTTGGAGGGTTGGAGGGTTGGAGGGTTGGAGGGTTGGAGGGTTGGAGGGTTGGAGGGTTGGAGGGTTGGAGGGTTGGAGGGTTGGAGGGTTGGAGGGTTGGAGGGTTGGAGGGTTGGAGGGTTGGAGGGTTGGAGGGTTGGAGGGTTGGAGGGTTGGAGGGTTGGAGGGTTGGAGGGTTGGAGGGTTGGAGGGTTGGAGGGTTGGAGGGTTGGAGGGTTGGAGGGTTGGAGGGTTGGAGGGTTGGAGGGTTGGAGGGTTGGAGGGTTGGAGGGTTGGAGGGTTGGAGGGTTGGAGGGTTGGAGGGTTGGAGGGTTGGAGGGTTGGAGGGTTGGAGGGTTGGAGGGTTGGAGGGTTGGAGGGTTGGAGGGTTGGAGGGTTGGAGGGTTGGAGGGTTGGAGGGTTGGAGGGTTGGAGGGTTGGAGGGTTGGAGGGTTGGAGGGTTGGAGGGTTGGAGGGTTGGAGGGTTGGAGGGTTGGAGGGTTGGAGGGTTGGAGGGTTGGAGGGTTGGAGGGTTGGAGGGTTGGAGGGTTGGAGGGTTGGAGGGTTGGAGGGTTGGAGGGTTGGAGGGTTGGAGGGTTGGAGGGTTGGAGGGTTGGAGGGTTGGAGGGTTGGAGGGTTGGAGGGTTGGAGGGTTGGAGGGTTGGAGGGTTGGAGGGTTGGAGGGTTGGAGGGTTGGAGGGTTGGAGGGTTGGAGGGTTGGAGGGTTGGAGGGTTGGAGGGTTGGAGGGTTGGAGGGTTGGAGGGTTGGAGGGTTGGAGGGTTGGAGGGTTGGAGGGTTGGAGGGTTGGAGGGTTGGAGGGTTGGAGGGTTGGAGGGTTGGAGGGTTGGAGGGTTGGAGGGTTGGAGGGTTGGAGGGTTGGAGGGTTGGAGGGTTGGAGGGTTGGAGGGTTGGAGGGTTGGAGGGTTGGAGGGTTGGAGGGTTGGAGGGTGGAGGGTTGGAGGGTTGGAGGGTTGGAGGGTTGGAGGGTTGGAGGGTTGGAGGGTTGGAGGGTTGGAGGGTTGGAGGGTTGGAGGGTTGGAGGGTTGGAGGGTTGGAGGGTTGGAGGGTTGGAGGGTTGGAGGGTTGGAGGGTTGGAGGGTTGGAGGGTTGGAGGGTTGGAGGGTTGGAGGGTTGGAGGGTTGGAGGGTTGGAGGGTTGGAGGGTTGGAGGGTTGGAGGGTTGGAGGGTTGGAGGGTTGGAGGGTTGGAGGGTTGGAGGGTTGGAGGGTTGGAGGGTTGGAGGGTTGGAGGGTTGGAGGGTTGGAGGGTTGGAGGGTTGGAGGGTTGGAGGGTTGGAGGTTGGAGGGTTGGAGGGTTGGAGGGTTGGAGGGTTGGAGGGTTGGAGGGTTGGAGGGTTGGAGGGTTGGAGGGTTGGAGGGTTGGAGGGTTGGAGGGTGGAGGGTTGGAGGGTTGGAGGGTTGGAGGGTTGGAGGGTTGGAGGGTTGGAGGGTTGGAGGGTTGGAGGGTTGGAGGGTTGGAGGGTTGGAGGTTGGAGGGTTGGAGGGTTGGAGGGTTGGAGGGTTGGAGGGTTGGAGGGTTGGAGGGTTGGAGGGTTGGAGGGTTGGAGGGTTGGAGGGTTGGAGGGTTGGAGGGTTGGAGGGTTGGAGGGTTGGAGGGTTGGAGGGTTGGAGGGTTGGAGGGTTGGAGGGTTGGAGGGTTGGAGGGTTGGAGGGTTGGAGGGTTGGAGGGTTGGAGGGTTGGAGGGTTGGAGGGTTGGAGGGTTGGAGGGTTGGAGGGTTGGAGGGTTGGAGGGTTGGAGGGTTGGAGGGTTGGAGGGTTGGAGGGTTGGAGGGTTGGAGGGTTGGAGGGTTGGAGGGTTGGAGGGTTGGAGGGTTGGAGGGTTGGAGGGTTGGAGGGTTGGAGGGTTGGAGGGTTGGAGGGTTGGAGGGTTGGAGGGTTGGAGGGTTGGAGGGTTGGAGGGTTGGAGGGTTGGAGGGTTGGAGGGTTGGAGGAGTTGGAGGGTTGGAGGGTTGGAGGGTTGGAGGGTTGGAGGGTTTGGAGGGTTGGAGGGTTGGAGGGTTGGAGGGTTGGAGGGTTGGAGGTTGGATGTTGGAGGGTTGGAGGGTGGAGGGTTGGAGGGTTTGGAGGGTTGGAGGGTTGGAGGGTTGGAGGGTTGGAGGGTTGGAGGGGTTGGAGGGTTGGAGGGTTGGAGGGTTTGGAGGTTGGAGGTTGGAGGTTGGAGGGTTGAGGGTTGGAGGGTGGAGGGTTGGAGGGTTGAGGGTTGGAGGGTTGGAGGTTGGAGGTTGGAGGGCTGGAGGGTTGGAGGGTTGGAGGGTTTTGGAGTGGTTGGGAGGGTTGGAGGGTTGGAGGGTTTGGAGGTTTGGAGGGTTGAGGTTGGAGGGTTGGAGGGTTGGAGGGTTGGAGGGTGGAGGGTTGGAGTTTGGAAGGGTTGGAGGTGGAGGGTTGGAGGGGTTGGAGGTTGAGGGTTGGAGGTGTTGGAGGGTTGGAGGGTTGGAGGTTGGAGGGTTGGAGGGTTGGAGGGTTGGAGGATGTTGGAGGGTTGGAGGGTTTGGAGGGTTGGAGGGTTGAGGGTTGGAGGTTGGAGGGTTGGAGGGTTTGAGGGTTGGAGGGTTGGAGGGTTGGAGGGTTGGAGGGTTGGAGGGTTGGAGGGTTGGAGGGTTGGAGGGTTGGAGGGTTGGAGGGTTGGAGGGTTGGAGGGTTGGAGGGTTGGAGGGTTGGAGGGTTGGAGGGTTGGAGGTTTGGAGGGTTGGAGGGTTGGAGGGTTGGAGGGTTTGGAGGGTTGGAGGGTTGGAGGGTGGAGGGTTGGAGGGTTGGAGGGGGGTTGGAGGGTTGGAGGGGTTGGAGGGTTGAGGGTTGGAGGGTTGGAGGGTTGGAGGGTTGGAGGGGGGTTGGAGGGTTGGAGGGTTGGAGGGTTTGGGAGGGTGGGTGGAGGGGGGTTGGAGGGTTGGAGGGTTGGAGGGTTGGAGGGTTGGAGGGTTGGAGGGTTGGAGGCGTTGGAGGGTTGGAGGGTTGGAGGGTTGGAGGGTTGGAGGGTTGGAGGGTTGGAGGGTTGGAGGGTTTGGAGGGTTGGAGGGTTGGAGGGTTGGCAGGGTTGGAGGGTGGAGGGTTGGAGGGTTGGAGGGTTGGAGGGTTGGATGGTTGAGGGTTGGAGGGTTTGGAGGGTTGGGTTGAGGGTTGGAGGGTTGGAGGGTTGGAGGGTTGGAGGGTTGGAGGGTTGGAGGGTTGGAGGGTTGGAGGGTTGGAGGTTGGAGGGTTGGAGGGTGGGAGGGTTGGAGGGTTGGAGGGTTGGAGGGTTGGAGGGTTGGAGGGTTGGAGGGTTGGAGGGTTGGAGGGTTGGAGGGTTGGAGGGTTGGAGGGTTGGAGGGTTGGAGGGTTGGAGGGTTGGAGGGTTGGAGGGTTGGAGGGTTGGAGGGTTGGAGGGTTGGAGGGTTGGAGGGTTGGAGGGTTGGAGGGTTGGAGGGTTGGAGGGTTGGAGGGTTGGAGGGTTGGAGGGTTGGAGGGTTGGAGGGTTGGAGGGTTGGAGGGTTGGAGGGTTGGAGGGTTGGAGGGTTGGAGGGTTGGAGGGTTGGAGGGTTGGAGGGTGGAGGGTTGGAGGGTTGGAGGGTTGGAGGGTTGGAGGGTTGGAGGGTTGGAGGGTTGGAGGGTTGGAGGGTTGGAGGGTTGGAGGGTTGGAGGGTTGGAGGGTTGGAGGGTTGGAGGGTTGGAGGGTTGGAGGGTTGGAGGTGGAGGGTGGAGGGTTGGAGGGTTGGAGGGTTGGAGGGTTGGAGGGTTGGAGGGTTGGAGGGTTGGAGGGTTGGAGGGTTGGAGGGTTGGGAGGGTTGGAGGGTTGGAGGGTTGGAGGGTTGGAGGGTTGGAGGGTTGGAGGGTTGGAGGGTTGGAGGGTTGGAGGGTTGGAGGGTTGGAGGGTTGGAGGGTTGGAGGTTGGAGGGTTGGAGGGTTGGAGGGT